GCTGTGTGCTCAAGTGAATTGCAAAGCGGAAAGTCTATTTCCTCTATGCACAAACATTTCCTGGAATCTTCTCCCAACAGCGCTATTCCAGAAAACAGCTTTCCCCAGCTGTCCTCCTTTCCTACATGGCTTCTCCTACGATGTTATCTTTCCTACTGAAAGTTCTAACACCCTTCCCCACTTCCATGGCTGAAATGACCCCAATCCTCACCTGCACGATGACAGACACGTGGGTGACAGCTGGGTGTGATCTACCAAGAGACAGGATGAAGTAAGCTTTCTGCTTACTTTTCACCAGAGCACTCAATCGAACCAGATTCCCAGCCAGGTTTCGCTGCACACCTCTGAGCTTGTTTCTAAGAAGGAAGAAAAAGCCCTGTAATCCCAGCTACTCAGGAGGCTGAGGGAGGAGAATCACTTGAACCTGGAAGGCAGAGGTTGCAGTGAGCTGAGATCACACCATTGAACTCCAGCCTGGGCAGCAAGAGGGAAACTCCGTCTCAAAAAAAGAAAAAAAAAAAAAGAAGCAGTCATCTTTATTTCTCTTCTTTTTCCCTATAAATGCTGTCCCTTCCACAGTAAAGAATAACCTGGTAGTGATACAAAATGTCCACAGCCCAAAGCTAGGTATGCTAAAAACCTTCAAAATTCTCTTGCCCCCATCAGATAAGGCACAGATCCCCCGAAAAACCCTTCTCTTTACCTTCTTAATATTCAAAGCCCACAATTCCCTTGATTTGGAACATTCCGTCTATATTACTATCAATGCCCTTCTTTCTCTCCCTCCACTGACCCACCATCAGTCTCCAATTTCACAGTGCCCCCGCCATGCCTAAAGGGGGAAATTACCTGAGCCTGAGCAGGCGGGAAGCACTCTCTGGGTAGAGGACAGGGATAGGAGTGAGCGAGCCAGGACTGACGGTCAAAGGAAACACTGGCACAGGGGCATCCCACAGCTCCAAGTGCCCCTCCCCTGAGGAATCCCACCTGGCAGGAGGGAGGTAACTCCAATGGGGGAACAGAAAAAGATGGCCCAACCAAGAAAGGTCCAGGTCGATGAGCTAAAAAAGACCAAGAGCAAGGGTTAATCAGGACCTTAGCACCCTATCCACCCACCTCCCCGCCTGTTTCCTCAGAGACTTAATTGTCTTGATCCTTGGACACCATTCTTGTTAGGATCTGAGGCATCTGACCTCCACCTTCCACTCACCTCACAGCTCAGGACGCCAGTGTTATCTCTCACATAGAGGCTTCCGTTCCTGCACTCTTGTTCCAAATCCCCCAGTAGGTCTGTTAGTGTCCCTAAAAGCAACAGCTGCTCTCGGGGCAGGGGGCTCCCATTTGGTCCAGCCTCTTGGGCCCAGGCCTGGTATGCACTACTGCTCCAGGACAGATGGCTACAGCATGGGAGATGCTGGTGAGTCTTGAGGTCCTGTACTGAGACGAAGCTGTAGAGTGAAGGGAACAGAGGTCCTGCAAAGACAGGTCCAAGCCTAGTAGGTAAACCTCAACCCTGACAAACCCTCAAGAGCCCAAGGAAAGGTTGCAGGGGAACATGGACTAAGAGGTGAGTTTGATTAAAGGGGTAAAACCTGGGGCTAAAGGCCTAAGAAAATAAGGATGCAGGCGGGCACAGTGGCTTGAATCTGTAATCTTAGCACTTGGAGAGGCCGAGGTGGGTGGATCACCTGAGGTCAGGAGTTTGAGACCAGCCTGGCCAACATAGTGAAACCCCATCTCTACTAAAAATACAAAAAATTAGCTGGGCATGGTGGTGGGCACCTGTAACCCCAGCTTCTTGGGATGCTGAGGCAGGAGAATTGCTTGAACCCAGGAGATGGAGGTTGCAGTAAGCTGAGATCAAGCCATTGCACTCCAGCTTGGGCAACAGAGTGAGACTCTGTCTCAAAAAAAAAAAAAGGAAAAAGAAAGTAAGGATGGGACCTGAGTCCAATTCTGTGCCGAACAGTATCTTCCACAAGATGGTGCCAGGGAGAGGACCCAGAGAAATGAAATAGGAATGCATGAGTGGCCTGAGGAAATGAATGTGTGGGGAGAACACTTTGTAAATAACAAAGGCAATTCTCTTGAAAGCATCTCAGCTCTTAGCTCCAGAGAGAACTTAATGGGACCACTTAGACATCTAAGGGTCCAACTACAATGACGTCAGCCAGCCAAGTTCCTTTCTAGTCTAGAATAGCACAGTACTAGAGACTAGGGGGGAAGCTGAGGCTGAGATGTGGGTGTTGGATGTGATACAAATAATAGTTAAATTATTAAAGTTGTGATAAATTCACTTTTCTGTAATACCATTATTCTCACTTGCTTGCATTCCCCTGATTTATTTATTTATTTATTTATTTATTTATTTATTTATTTATTTTGAGACAGAGTCTCACCCTTTCACCCAGGCTGGAGGGAAATCAAGACCGAAACCTTGAACCTTCTCCAGAGGGGGTTTCACCATGTTGGCCAGGCTGGTCTCGAACTCCTGACCTCAGGTGATCCATCTGCCTCAGCCTCCCAAAGTGCTGGGATTACAGGCATGAGCCACTGTGCCCGGCCCCCATGACTTTTTTTCAGTGGAAATGAAAAGGATCGAGTTATAAACCATCACAATTAATCCTCCCTGTTGGACTCAAGAACATTATGCACAAATGAGTATTAAAGAGAGAGAGGCCGGGCGCGGTGGCTCAAGCCTGTAATCCCAGCACTTTGGGAGGCCGAGACGGGTGGATCACGAGGTCAGGAGATCGAGACCATCCTGGCTAAAACGGTGAAACTCCGTCTCTACTAAAAAATACAAAAAACTAGCCGGCGAGGTGGCGGGTGCCTGTAGTCCCAGCTACTCGGGAGGCTGAGCCAGGAGAATGGCGTAAACCCAGGAGACGGAGCTTGCAGTGAGCTAAGATCCGGCCACTGCACTCCAGCCTGGGCAACAGAGCGAGACTCCATCTCAAAAAAAAAAAAATTAAAAAAAAAAATAAATAAAGAGAGAGAATGGGCCAGGCGCAGGGGCTCATGCCTGTAATTCCAGCACTTTGGGAGGCCGAGGTGGGCGGATCATGAGGTCAGGAGATCGAGACCATCCTGGCGAACATGGTGAAACCCCATCTCTACTAAAAATACAAAAACATTAGCCAGGTGTGGTGGCAGGCGCCTGTAGTCCCAGCTTCTAGGGAGGCTGAGGCAGGAGAATGGCGTGAACCCGGGAGGTGGCAGAGGTTGCAGTGAGCGGAGATCGCGCCACTGCACTCCAGCCTGGGCGACAGAGCAAGACTCCATCTCAAAAACAAAAACAAAAAAAAAAAAAGGGAGAGAGAATGCTGTTCTAGAAGGCCACTCCCCTTCCGCATCTGGTCTCTTTCCCTAATGGCTTTGGAGAAGACACAGGGCAAAGACAGAAACTAACACATGTTGGTCCCTGCTGTCTACACTATACTATACGGAGTCTGGTCAGGCTCAATATTGAATTTTCTTCTCCCCAAAATTCTGTAAACATCATCAATGGGGAAAGTCAGAGGCTCAGTACACAGAGGCATGGGTGGCAAAGCCAGGCGTGTCTCATTCAAAAGTCCATGTTCTTTCTCTGTGTTTTCCTACTTATCTGAAGGTCCAAGAAAAAGCAACCAGAGAGAACTGTCTCCTTTTTTTTTTTGAGACAGAGTCTTGCTGTGTCGCCCAGGCTGGAGTGTAGTGACGTGATCTCAGCTCACTGCAACCTCCATCTCCTGGGTTCAAGCAATTCTCCTGCCTCAGCATCCCAAGAAGCTGGGATTACAGGCGCCCACCACCATGCCTGGCTAATTTTTTGTATTTTTAGTAGACGAGGTTTCACCATGCTGGCCAGGCTGGTCTCGAACTCCTGACCTCGTGATCCGCCCGTCTCAGTCTCCCAAAGTGTCAGGATTACAGGTGTGAGCCACCGTACCCAGCCAAAAAAAGTAATCTTAAGTGTTACGGACGTGGACAAGAATTATAGGAAAAGAAAGGAAAAACAGTCCAGTGAAATAAAATGATAAAAAGGAAAAAAAATAACCCGTGTACGAGTACCCTCAGAAATTACTTTGGAATTAGGCCAAGCACAGTGGCTCATGCCTATAATCCCAGCACTCGGGGAGGCCGAGGAGGGAGGATCACCTGAGGTTAGGAGTTTGAGATCACCCTGGCCAACATGGTGAAAGCCCGTCTCTACCAAAAATACAAAATTAGCCAGGCATGCTGGCAAGCGCCTGTAATCCCAGCTACTTGGAAGGCTGAGGCAGGAGAATTGCTTGAATCCGGGAGGCAGAGGTTGCAGTGAGCAGAGATCGCGACACTGCACTCCAGCCTGGGTCACTATACTCCAGCCTGGGCAAGAGCGAAACTCCGTCTCAAAAAAAAAAAAATTTATTTTGGAATTAACAAAACAAAAATATCATTTAATACCTACCAAATAGGCAAAAATAAATAAAAATAATTTTTAACCAAGGTAAACACAGGCTCAAGATATGCATATACACTATCGGCCGGGCACGGTGGCTCATGCCTGTAATCCCAGCAGTTTGGGAGGCTGAGGTGGGCAGATCACCTGAGGTCAGTAGTTTGAGACCAGCCTGGCCAACATGGCAAAACCCCATCTCTGCAAAAATACAAAAATTAGCCAGGTGTGATGGCAGGCATCTGTAATCCCAGCATCTTGGAAGGCTGAGACAGAAGAATCACTTGAACCTGGGAGGTGGAACTTGCGGTGAGCTGAGATGATGCCATTGCACTCCAGCCTGGGTCACAGGGTGAGACTCCGTCTCAAAAAACAAAAAACAAACAAACAACCACAAACAAAAAAAGAAGTATAACGTTAAGCACAAAAAGCAAGTAGGGGCTTGGGGTAATGGTTCACACCTATAACCCCAGCACTCTGGAAGACTGAGATGGCGGATCACCTGAGGTCAGGAATTTGAGACCAGCATGGTCAATGTGGTGAAACCCTGTCTCTACTAAAAAATACAAAAATTAAGTTGCATCTGGGGTGCCTTTAGGATTCGGCACCATGGCGGAAGAAGACACTGAGACCAAAATCAAGAACTACAAGACTGCCCCTTTTGACAGCCGCTTCCCCAACCAGAACCAGACCAGGAACTGCTGGCAGAACTACCTGGACTTCCACTGCTGTCAGAAGGCAATGACCACTAAAAGGAGGCCCTATCTCTGTGTGCGAATGGTACCAGTGTGTGTACCAGTCCCTCTGCCCCACATCCTGGGTCATAGACTGGGACGACCAACGGGCGGAAGGTACGTTTCCTGGGAAGATCTGAACTGGCTGCACCTCCCTCTCCTCTGTTCTCCGTCCTTCTCCCAGGATGGTGAAGGGGGACCTAGTACCCAGTGACCCCCACCCTGGGATCCTAAATCATCTCTTACTGCTAATAAAAACTCATTGGAAAAGTGAAAACAAACAAACAAACAAACAAAAATTAGCTGGTATTGTGGCGCACAGTTCCAGCTACTCAAGAGGCAGGATAATCACTGAAACCCAGGAGGCAGAGGTTGCAGTGGGCCGAGATCGTGCCACTGCACTCCGGCCTGGGCAACAGAATGAGACTCCGTCTTAAAAAAAAAAAAAAAGCAGGCCAGGCACAGTGGCTCATGCCTATAATACCCTGGGAGGCCACGGTAGGAAGACTGCTTGAGCCTAGGGGTTCAAGACCAGTGTGGCATGCACCTGTGGTCCTAGTTATGTGGGAGGCTGAGGCAGGAGAACTGCTTGAGCCCAGGAGGTAAAGTCTGTGAGCCATGTTTGGACCATTGCACTAGAGCGAGACCCTGTCTCAAAAAAAAAAAAGAAAAACAAATTGCAGAGGGTATTTAAATAGGGTATGGTAACATTTATTTAAGGTCTACATGTGTGCAAAACTCTACATTATATTGCTTAAGGATAGATGCATATGTAGTAAAAATATTAAAATATTTATTGGAATAATATATCCCACCTACAAGATAGTGATTACTTTTTTTTTTATATGGAGTTTTGCTCTTGTCACCCAGCTGCAGTGCAATGGTGCAATCTAAGCTCACTGCAACCTCTGCCTCCCAGGGTCAAGCGATTCTCCTGCCTCAGCCTCCCGAGTAGCTGGGGATTTTACAGGCGACCACCACCATGCTCGGCTAATTTTTGTATTTTTTTTTAGTAGAGACGGTGTTCCACCATGTTGGCCAGGCTGGTCTCCAACTGCTGACCTCAGGTGATCCACCCGCCTCGGCCTCCCAAAGTGTTGGGATTACAGGTGTGAGCCACTGTGCCTGGCTGATAGTGATTACTTCTATGAGGCGATAAATAGGCTTCTTTTGCAGGACTTGTCATAGCCTCTAATATGTTAATAAACCCTATGACTCTCCCAGCGAAGTTTTATCATATTCAATTTCCCTCACACTTACTTAGCTATGAACCCCTTTTATTGTGCTTTACTAACATTGCCTAGAACACTTTTGGAAATGGTAGTGTAGAAAAAAAATGTGTATATATACATATATATACACACATATACACACACATATGTATACGCACATATATGTATATATGCATATATATACACACACATACATACACACCCCCCCCCCTCGGAAGCCCTAAAACTGACATCTTAAACACAATGATCTGCACTTGGTAATGTCAAACAGCTCTCTGTATCTTTGTTTCTTAATACACAAACTAAAGATAATGCTAGCCTCTTTTCCCACTTTGAGAGTTCTTTTTCCAAATTTTCCTTCTCTCTTCCCCTCTTCTTCTCCTTTTCTTTAATCTTAAGCCAATTCGGGAGAACTTTACGAAAAGGAAAGCTTGATAGTGTTAGAACGGAAAAGCTCTGCAGAAGGGGTATGTTTAGACTACCTTGTCCTCTGCTCACTCTCTCACTTGCCCTTTTTCTAACTACAGAACCTTACTTTTCAATCATGAATTCAGTACCCGCCCCTGCCCAGTCCCCACAACCGCCACCTCTCCTTACCTATAGCTGAGGGGCAGTGTAGAACCTTGATTCCTTCCCTGGGACAACCAGACAGTCTTCACACAATCAATTACCAATGGAGTCAACTGGACATGAGGCTGCTTGACAGCTGGACACAGGGTCTTTTGGATGAAGACCTGAGCATCCTCAAGCCAGGCTTGTTCCTGAGGAAAGTGAATTTAGTTAAATCCTCTTGACTATCCAGCCCACCAAAGAAACTTGGGAAGAATAAAGGACTAGAAAAAAATATCCTGGCCGGGTGCAGTGGCTCATGCCTGTAATCCCAGCACTTTGGGAGGCTGAGGCAGGCAGATCACCTGAGGTTGGGAGTTCAAGACCAGCCTGACCAACATGGTGAAACCCTGTCTCTACTAAAAACATAAAATTAGCCAGGGGTAGTGGTGCACACCTGTAATCCCAGCTACTTGGGAGGCTGAGACAGGAGAATTGCTTGAACCCAGTAGGCAGAGGTTGTGGTGAGCCAAGATTAAGCCATTGCACTCCAGCCTGGGCAACAAGAGCGAAACTCCGTCTCAAAAAAAAAAGAAAAGTATATCCAGAGGGCACATGAAATGAAGATCAAAAGTAAAGGAGTTTAGAACTTGAAGAAACCTTAAAAGTCTTAGTCCAGCCATACCATAGACAGCTGGCCATCCAGTTTTGGTCTTGCCCCTTTCTCTAACAAACTTGTACACATCCCATCTTACATGGAATCTGGTTCTAAAGTCAGTATGTTGAAAAGCAAGAATGGACAAAAACATTGTTGAACAATCCTTTAAATTGTTCATAAAGAAGAGGACAGGCTAGGTGCAGTGGCTCCTGCTTGTAATCCCAGCACGTTGGGAGGCCAAGGCGGGTGGATTGCTCGAGTCCAGGAGTTCAAGAACAGCCTGGACAACATGGCGAAATCATATCTCTACAAAAATACAAAAAGCCAGGTGTGGTGGCACACGCCTGTGGTTCCAGCTACTCGGGAGGCTGAGGTGTGAGGATCACCTGAGCCTGGAGCGGTTGAAACTTCAGTGAACCCGGATGGTGCCACTGCACTCTGGCCTGGGTGACAGAGTGAGACGCTGTCTCAAAAAAACCAAAACCAAAAATGAATAGGACATAGTGCCATACTATGTCTAAGTGCCTAATAGTGGACAGTACATAAAAAGGACATAGGCAGAGTATAATTTTTAATCATTTTTTTTATTCAAATGTATGCATTTCCCACAAGCTAAATATATGCAAGATACAACCTCACTTGATTTGTTTTCTGTTGTCTTTTCAGCAAAGGTGTGGGCTTCCTGAGGAGGATACGGACTATCTTTGTATACCTGACACAGATTCTGGACACATAGTTGCCATTATATGTAGGTAACTTTAGGAGAAAGGACCAGTTTGGCCTCCTCCCAGTGCCAGGCAGCTTTAACACACTTGGCAGTAGGTCCTTTATCCTTCTCTCTTAATGCTACTTCTAAGCCATTACAGCTCCTTCCCTGGTCCTCCAAGGCTCATATACTAACATCCTGGTCAATCTTTCACTTTTTTTTTTTTTTTTTTGAGATGGAGTCTTGCTCTGTCGCCCAGGTTGGAGTGCAGTGGCGCGATGTCGGCTCACTGCAACCTCCGCCTCCCGGGTTCAAGTGATTCTCCTGTCTCAGCCTCCCAAGTAGCTGGGATTACAGGCGTCCACCACCATGCCCAGCTAATTTTTTATATTTTTAGTAGAGACGAAGTTTCACCATGTTGGCCAGGCTGGTTTCGAACTTCTGAACTCAAGTGATCTGCCCGCCTCGGCCTCCCAAAGTGCTAGGATTACACACGTGAGCCACTGCGCCCGGCCCTGCCCTTCACATTCTTCTAATCTTAAGGAGCTTGAAAAGAGCTAGAAAAGCCAGTCTTAACCTAAATGCCCATCAACAGTAGACTGGATAAAGAAAATGTGGTACATATACACCATGGAATACTACGCAACCATAAAAAAGAATGAGATCATGTCCTCTGCTACGACATGGATGCAGTTGGAGACCATCATCCTTAGCAAACTAACCCAAGAACACAAAACCAAATACTGCATGTTTGTTCCCACTTATAAGTGGGAGCTAAATAACAAGAACACATGAACACAAAGAGGGAAATAACAGACACTGGGGCCTACTTGAGGGTGGGAAGAGACAGATCAGAAAAAATACCCATCAAGTACTATGCTTAGTATAGGGGTGACGAAATAATCTCTATACCAAACCCCTGTGACATGAGGTTACCTACATAATAAACCTGCGCATGTCCCCTAAATCTAAAATAAAAGTTAAAAGGAAAAAAAACAAGGTTTCAAGTTTTAGATGTCTTCAGCATCCTTATGGACAGTCCTACCACTGACCTTCAGCCCACCTCAGCCAAACACTCATTCAAGGTCAGAGTTGTAGAAACTACACCAAATCACCATTCAGAGTTGCCTCACCAGCATCATCAAAGTTCTGACTCTCACGCTTTTTGTCTTCCTCTCCCAGTATTCTTTTGTAGTTCCATTTCTCGGATGGCTTATCCTTTGCTTGGTGCGCTGAATACTATTGTCTCTCAAAGTGATCTCATGGCCATAAGGAGAAATTACCTAAGTTTTGTTAAAAAGGTAAATTCATGTTTTCATCTACTGAGTAAAAATGGAGCAGACTGGATGTGGTGGCTCTCGCCTGTAATCCCAGCACTTTGTGGGGCCAAGGTAGATCGCTTGAGCCCAGGAGTTCACCACTAGCCTGGGCAACAAGACAAAGACCCGTCTCTACAAAAAACAGAAAAATTAGCTGGGCATGCTGGCTTGTGCCTACTCAGGAGGCTGAGGTGAGAGGATCACCTGAGCCTGGAAAGGTTGAGACCAGCCTGGGCAACATGGTGAAACTCTGAAACAATTCAAAATTAGCTGGGTTAGCCGGGCATGATAGCACAGCCAGTAGTCCCAGCTACTTGGGAGGCTGAGGTGGGAGTATTGCTTGAGCCCAGGGAGGTCGAGGCTGCGGTGAGCCGTGATGGTGCCACTGCACTCTAGCCTGGGTGACAGAGTTAAGACTGTCTCAAAAAAAAAAAAAAAAAGAGGGAGGAAGACTCAGATTAATACAGGCTGAAGTTTAAGAACACAATATGCTTTCCCACAATTATCTCAAACACTGCATGGGTTTAACGGCCATGGCCAGATGATGATTGTTCCTGTATGTCTACTTTAGCTGAGATCTCATTCCTGAGCTTTAGTCTTATCCATCGGCCAGACTCTCCATGGCCAACCCACAGGCAGCACACACGCCCAATACTGAACCTTTCACAAAACCCTCTCCTGATCTAGAACTCTTCTGGTGTTATGTTCACTAACTTAGCAAACAGTACCCTTAACCAAATAGTTGTTCTATCCTGAAACCTAAGTGTCCTCCTTAACTCCTACCTTTCCCTACATAAGTCCCAGTCC